GGTGTACTTGGTGGACTTCATCGAAATCGATGGTCGAACACACACACACGTGGTAGATGCTCTGAACTAGCGCGGCAGCTAAGTCAGGGTAAGGCAGACGTTATTGAGGGAGGCGTAGGCATCACAAATGCCCCCCACACATGGGGGCGGGTTGGGGGAGGGGGGCTGATGGCACGACCAAATTCGGATTCCAGTCGCGCCCGCTACCTGCGCTCTCTGTCCTGTGGTTTTCTAGAATTTGTCAGGCGAGTAAGGAGCGTGCACGGCAGATATTGCGAACGTCTTTAGTCACTCTAAAAGAAATCACGCGCAAGTCACCTCCCTCCATCAACACGTTGTGTGGCATACGGAGGAGATCGAATAGTACGAGGGTCACACTGTCATGGAGAGAAACTAAAGGAAAATTGCGTATTCTAAATCAAAAGATTAGGAAAGCCGCCTGCCTGAGGACACTGAGAAAACGTGGTGCCGATCTGAAAAATTATATATTTCACGATGGCAATGTGATCCCTGATCATGTGAGCATCAGTGAATGTAGAAGTAGAAGATGCGGCCGTTGGAACAGTGAAATTATTTGCCTGACTTTTCGGATGCTGTCTTGAGACCATTATCAGAGATAACCGCACCTATTTCGCTGCACTTCCGTGGTGAGACCTCAATACGAAAAACTCTATTACCAAAGTTCCCGACCCTGGGGTTAGTGCTGGCTAAGAGACTTACCTAACCTATAATCACCATTTTTTGAAATAGAGATACGTAGGCTGGCTATGCAAGTGATAGTATTCTCATAAGGCCATCAAAATAGTCCCTCGAAATGCAAAATTTTATTTGCTAACGATTTTTAGCTTTAGGCGTCCGAGGGCTTGGGCTAATCCGTAATCTAATTTTACTTCCAAAATCAGTTGAGTTTGCCTAAAAGCATTGAAGTTGTTGTTATTAATAAAAGTGTAACCCGTCTCTGCTAGTGTCTCTGATGAAGGATCCGCAACGGATTTCGAAACGTCAGGCGGAGAATAAAATTCT